CCATTTCGGCGAGCGGCCGTTGGCAGAGGCCCGCGCGCGGCGATCCCAAGTGCGGCGGGGGGCTGTCTTGGCAGCGGGGACCAAAAAGAAGCGGAAACGCGAGGGTGGCGCCCACAAGCGCAGTGGCCAGCAAGTTACTCCATGGGAATTTGTTTTCGCGAAAGTGCTCGGCAGCCAGTGGAGGGCCGCGCGGGGCGCGACAGGTTCGCTGGCAGCTTGGGCGCGTGGTTGTTCTGACTTTGTCAACGCAGCGTGCGACTTATGGCATTTACCGCGACAGCCAGATGCGGCTCGCGCTCGCGGGGGGGCCGCTCTCTCCGACGCCGTGTCCACGGAGCCCGGCGCTCTTGGTGTTTCTTCCGCCGCTACTCGGCCACCCATTGGACTGCGCGTGGGGCTCTGGGCCCACGCGGTTGCGGGCGCAGGTCGACTGCCATGCTATCGCAGAGCTCGCATCAGGAAGAAGAGCGCGGCTGGCCAGAGATTCGGACAGACCTCTGTTTATCAGAATTGCACGCAGTCTGTTTCGATTGCGCCATCTTGGTTGGCTACCCGCGACGGACACGTCCGACCTGGTGGCGTGGACTCCCCGGGACTACAACAATCATGCGGATCACGCGGCCGATGCAGCATTGGATGCAGGGGCAGAAGTTTGCCGGGCGGATTGGCCGGCCATCCAGACGGCGCTCTTGAGGGGCGACCCTCTGCGGCCATGCGTCGACGGCGGCCTCCGGGGCACCGGCGCAGGCGCCATGGGGGTGACGCTGCTGGCTGTCCATGCGAGGCGTCCATGGTGGAAACCGCATTCCCTCGAAGTGTTGGCTGGGGGCACTCTCGTGGATGCGAAGTTGCCTTCCTTCGAGGTGTTACAGCAGGGCGCCGTCTTGAAGTGCGCGATCGTGAAGGAGATGACGATCCTCGGCGACGTCCTCGACGGCCAGGGCTCCACCTGCCGGGGCCAGGCCGACCGACAGAGGGCGGCAGACGCAGTCTTCTTGCGAGAACTGCGCGTTCGCACGCCCGCCCTTCCACGCCTCCGGGCGTGGCACGACTCACCAGCTACTGCTGCTATTCTCGCTTGCCAGACGCGGCATGCGACGGGAGGCGTACTGCGACCCCTCCTCCGAACGTGGGAATTGCAGCGATTGCGACACATGTTCCGGATGAAGCCGAGGCTGGCGGAGAATAGGGCATCGTTCAACCAGAGATCGGCCGCGCAGATTTTCATGCGGTTCCAGGAGGTTTCCTTGAAACCGGTCTACCATCGCGTGTTGACAGCCATCCACAAGGCAGCCTGGGTGGAATATTCTTCACCATGCCACTTCGGCGAGCGGCCGTCGGCAGAGGCCCGCGCGCGGCGATCCCAAGTGCGACGGGGGGCTGTCTTAGCAGCGGGGGCCGAAAAGAAGCGGAAACGCGAGGGTTGCGCCCGCAAGCGCAGCGGCCAGCAACCTACTCCATGGGAATTGTCGCGAAAGTGCTCGGCAGCCAGTGGAGGGCCGCGCGGGGCGCGACAGGTTCGTTGGCAGCTTGGGCGCATGGTTGTTCTGACTTTGTCAACGCAGCGTGCGACTTATGGCATGTACCGCGACAGCCAGATGCGGCTCGCGCTCGCGGGGGGCCGCTCTCTCCGACGCCATGTCCACGGAGCCCGGCGCTCTTGGTGTTTCCTCCGCCGCTACTCGGCCACCCATTGGACTGCGCGTGGGGCTCTGGGCCCACGCGGCTGCGGGCGCAGATCGACTGCCATGCTATCGCAGAGCTCGCATCAGGAAGAGCGCGGCTGGCCAGTGATTCGGACAGACTTCTGTTTATCAGAATTGCACGCGGTCTGCTTCGATTGCGCCATCTTGCTACCCGCGACGGACACGTCCGACCTGGTGGCGTGGACCCCCCGGGACTGCAGCAAACATGCGGATCACGCGGCCAAAGCAGCAGTGGATGCAGAAGCAGAAGTCTGCCGGGCGGATTGGCCGGCCATCCAGACGGCGCTCTTGAGGGGCGACCCTCTGCGGCCATGCGTCGACGGCGGCCTCCGGGGCACCGGCGCAGGCGCCGCGGGGGTGGCGCTGCTGGCGGCGCGGCGCTCTCCCAAGGGCAAGGCTTGCGAGTGTCGAGTTTTAGCGCGGCGGGGCTCGCTGTTACTTTCAGCGGAGTTGGCTTTCCACGCCGAGGCGCTCGCCATAAAGTGGGCGCAACAGCATCTGATCAGCATTATTTCACCCTGAGATCATCGGCGCTGCGGGGCGGGCCACGGCCCATGCCCGACTCAAAAAAAAATGAGCCTTCCCCTGGGCGCAGATTCGCGCCCCTGATGCCCGGGGGCACCAACGCTGCGGCCAGGCAGGTCCAGAAGACCCTGCGGCGTCTCAAGCAGGCGGACGTCAGTTGGCGCGGGTTCGAGGCGTCTACCCTCCAGGATGGCATCGCACCGGTCTACGCGGGGCTGGACAAGTCCGCGAGGATGGTACGCCGAGAGACTCAGACCAAAAGGCTCGCCGCGCTGGTCAAGGAGCTCCATGCGCAGAAGTGGGTTCGACATGATCGTACTCAGGGCATTATGTATGCGGAAGTAACTCCAGCGATGCAGCGGGAGGTGTGAGCGGAGCGTGATCATAATACCAAGATTTCGTGGAATTGCAGTGATATGCAGGAGCTGGGCATCGACCTTGTAGGCTTCGCCTCGCTCTTCAACAGCATACGCCATGCCTCTGATGAAGTTCGGTGGCGCATTTAGTCAAGTGATGGTACCAAGGGTCTCTTTGCTTTCGTCATCTGCGTCTCCGCCTTCGCCCTCCTTCGCCACCTGGAACACGCGGGCTTCGCTTCATCGCAACCCTGCTCGCCGTGAAGATAAAACGTCATGGGCTCCGTGATCTGTTGGGTCCGCCGCAAAGTGCTGCTGCAGCGCAGGAGGCCCATGGGGCCCCGGAGGAACTGCAACGGCAGCTATACCTCTAACGCTCGCGCGTGGCCTCGTTCTCCTCTACGCCCAGATTCGATGCGGGGGGAGTGGCGATCATGATCAGTGGTCTGTCACGGGCAGAGGCCGACCGCGCTGAGCTGGAGGGCCGCATGCGCCACGCCGTGCTTTTCCCTGGCTATGCCCGCCAGCTCCAGATTCGCGCTGGCGCGAGCGAGATGATAATTCATGACGCGATGTGGATCATATGCAACATCTATCATGTCAACCTTGGCGTGAACGACACCAATGGGCGCCTGGCGCTGATTTCTGCGGAGGTCGAGGCCGCCGAGGCGAACCCTCTCCACGCGGCGGGCACGGCGCTGGGCGACCTCAACTGCCGTGAGAAGGCTACCATTTACATGGGCACGCCTGAGGTCTACAAGGGCGTCAAGTCGCCGCCTCGCGCTCTGCTGGCGTCTTCGAATTGGGCCGCGGTGGAGCTCGACCCAAAGCGGCCCGCTCACTTCGTCGCAGATGGACAGAAAGTCGCGCAATTGGACAAAGTATTTGCATCGACGCCAGGATGGATATGATTGCACTAGCAGCTGGCTGCAACAGCTCTCGATCGCCCCGAGCACCTTCGCGATCGGGGCCTGCCGGATCATGCCCCATTGAGGGCCGCGCGCGGTCTCGAGCAGAAAAAGCCAGAACAGGACCAGCCCACCCCCGACGCGCCTGTGGGCCCCCTGCCTTTAAGCACTACCTTTCTCTGTTCATTCAATCCCCCCCCCCTCCCGCGCCCCCCCCCCCCGCGCCTAATGGCGGGGGTGCGAGGGTTTGCTTCGCGAGGCTGTTCGAATCTCGGAATGCATTGATCGAGGTCCAGACGCCAGAGGTGTAAACCAAGCATTTGATTAGTCGCTCGATCTCTAGGGCAGTAGGTGCGAGCGGCGCGCGGCTAGCTTCCCGAATCCGCGCCTCGGCCCCGATTGCTGCCGGCCGCCTGCATGTGCTGCAAGATTGGGCTGCGGGTTTGAGGTCGGCCGTCGTCTTCTGTCGTGGGTGCGAATCCCTCCAGCGGCAGTTGCAGGATTGCCGTCTGGCTAGGGCTGAGACAGCGATCAAGGTCTCCCCTGCTCGGCAGGGGAAACATATGGCTTCGCGCGCACATGGGCGCTCAGCGTCGCGGCCAGCTGCGGGCGCCCTGTCGCAAATCTTCAGCTATGGGCACTCGTTGATCCCTCGGGCTCGGCGGCGGGGGGCCCCCGAGTGATGGTCGACGCCCTCCGTGAACATTGGGCGCGTGTCTTTGCCTGGAAGAGCGCCCCCCCCTTCGAGTCCGAGCTTATTCGAAGCGACGCGTTCGCCAGTTCGAGTGAACGCTGGCAGCGCCTCCAACGGTCTCTGAAATTAAGGCCTCGTTTCGCGGGGCCGAGCCGACTGCCCCTGGACCCGATGGCTTCCCACGCGCTGCCTGGGGTTTCCAGCGTTCGGCAGAGGTTCTTGTCTATGCAAAGCGCCAGTTGCTGCGCGGCCGCCCGCCACCTGTCGGCGCGAATGACTAGACGCTCGTCTCTGCTCCTATGGGCCGCAAGGAGGAGCTCACTTGCGTCGCCGCAAAGCCAGCAGCGACCCGCCCGTTTGAATCGCAATGCGAAGCTCTAGCTGAGTCGGCAAACCCAGCCTGACCAGCGAGGCTTTCTTGTTTCCCGTAAATTCATTGACAACATCACCCCCGTCGAGTCGACGGCTCGCATCGCGAGCGTGCCATTGCGGGCCGCCTCCTTCTCCTCGACTTTGGCGCCGCCTTTCCCTCCCACATCCACCTCTCTCTATGGGAAGTCTTCCATGCTGTTGGGCTACCTTGCGGTTTCATCACACTTGTGCAGGCCGCCTACCTTTTCGCCGCTGCCCGCGCCCCCCCAGTGGGCGCTCCAGAGGTCTTTGGGCTCGTCGTGTCTGGGGTCATGCAGGGGGAGGGCCTTCAGCGGCTCGGCTTGGGTTCCGGCCGATGGGCCCAATGTTGCATGATTTAAGGGAACGCCTTGATCGATTCGAGGGGTCGGAAGCTGGCGCGTGCCCGGACGACGCGGGGATGGTTCTGACTTCGCACAAGGCGCTCCCACACGTGCGAGGTGATGTTCGTATGCAGAGGCTTTTGCTGGCCTGAAACTACAAATGCCGAAGTGCCGCTTCGTCCCGCTTGAAGGCGAATTCACTCCAGCGCTCGCAGCAACGCTGCAGAACCCTATCTCCCGCTGGGCCCCTTGGCGGACATTGGCCCCCGTCGTGGCGGCGGCGGAATGTCTCGGAGCGTGGGTGGGCCCTGCTGTTGTGCACGAGTCGCGGGGTAGGGTCTTCCATGAGTGGGTGGAGGTGGTGCGAAACATTGCCAAACAGCAGTCCCCCCCGCTTTCGCCACGCATCTGCGCAGCACCCGGGCGGTCTCAAATGATCCTGTCTCGCCCAGCTGCTGCCCATCCCAAAACAGGTCCTAGGGTCAAGGCCCAGAAAGTCTTCGCCCGCTCCCTGGGGGAACTTTTTTTCGGACTGCTTGGAGGTGGTTTTTGAGAAAGCTGATCTGATCATGGGCGTCGAGGGCACCCTCGGCTCAGGCCTTGAAAGCGATCTCCTGGCTTCGTCTGCGTGGTAAGCTGCCGTCAGCCCCTCCTTCGTGGCAGACGATCATAGTCAAGACGCTTGGTGGAGCGTGGACCACTGAGTGGAAAATGGTTCATGGCGATCGCGCGTGTGTCTTTGGCTGCAGGGGCCCAGGTGCGTCCTAACCGCGAGGCTCAGTACAAGTGCTGCCCCGAGCTCTGGCAGGCCGTGCATGAGGTGTGGCACCCCGGGCTTCCTTTGCCATATCATATTTGTTCTGGGTTTGGGTTTGCGCGGGCGGCTCACCGCATGCGCGGCGCGGCTGATGCCGATGCCCACGTCGGCTGGCACCTTCGGTCGCTCACCCCAGGGCAGCTCCTCGGTTGGGCACGCAGGGCTTCCTGTCGGTCAGACGATGCCAAGAGGCGCGGGAGGAGGAGGAGGAGGAGGAGGAGGAGGAGGAGGAGGAGGAGGTGGAGGTGGAGGAAGTGGGAGGAGGAGGAACAGCCCGTCCCCACCCCCTGGGGGTCCCCGCCCGAGTGGTCGCAAGGTCCTCCCGGTCGATGCCCGAGGAACGCGCAGGCTACCATTGGGCGGCCCCGAGCGTTTGGCTCCCCGAGGGGCCCTCCTTCCCGAGGCGGCGAGACCCCGCGTGGTGAGCCCCCTCGGCATCGCACGGGTCGGGCCCGCCCGCGGGTCGCTTTCGGCGCCCGGGGGCCGACCGCCACCCGCCGCCGGGGGAGGCGGCCGCCACATCGCCCGCTACGTTGGCGCCTGCCTTCAATTTGTTGGTTTCTGTGTTCAGCCCGTTCGGCGTTGAACACTATGCCACCTCCAGGTCTCCTGACCCCGAGGAACGCTGTGCTGATTGCTTGGCGCCAACGTGGCATGCTTTCTGTGACAGATTGTGCTCCGAAGCTGTTCCAATTGCCCCTGTCTGCCCCTATGTAACTCGAATTCGGCGCGTCTCCCCATGTGGTCGCTGCTCCTCCTCCTCCTCCTCCTCCTCCTCCTCCTCCCCATCCTCCTCCTCCTTCTCCTCCTCTTCCTCCCGTCGTCTGTTGGAGCACCCCGTGGATCCAGGCCTCCCAGATGAGGTCCGAGTGCGGCCAGGAGCTGTTGGACAGCGTGTCGCTCCACCGGTTCTGGCCCGCCATGCCGCGGCGCGACACGGTATCCATTTCCGAGTCCCCGCGCGTCAACGTCCCGAGCTTTTCCGAGCTCTTCGCCTCGCGGAGCGGAGCGACACGCTATCCACTCGCAAGGTATAGTGTGTCGCCAGGCCGCCGCCGCGACACGCTAAGCAGATGTTCCCGACCGATTCTGGGGTCGGAGGATTGCGCCGCATCGCCGATGCATCGGCGATGCGGCTGGATGCGGAGCCCGAATTTCTCAACACGGAGACCGCTGATGCATCGATGACGTCGCCGATGTATCGGCGATGCATTGGCGATGCGGCGCGATCCACCACCCTATTTGGGGGGTCTCCGGTGGACTCTGAGGAATCTGGGCCACAGGGAACACAAAGAAGGTCGAGCCAACAGGCGGGCTGGGATTTTGGGCGTGTGCTGTTCGCCGTCTGTATCGGCGTCTAGCACGTGTCCAACCGATTTCTGTGCTCCCGCGCGTCCTCTCCCGCTTCCCTCCCTCCCTCTTTGCTCATTTGCTTTTCCCTCTGGACAATCCTGACCCTTCGCCCTGGAACGGCCTGGGGAGGAGGTGCAGATCGCTCAGTTACCGCCTGCTGTTTTGGCATGATCGCACCCGCACCCAGCCCGCTCGCATTACACTCGCCTTTCCCTCTCTCTGCTCTTGGCAGATTGTGTTTCTCTTGAGCCGCATCATGGCTTGCAGAAGGGCCGTCGGGGCATCCGTACCGCTCTTTGAGGCTCCCGTCGAGAGAGCTCCAGTCTTTGGAGGGGCGCCTGAAAACATCAAAATTAGCCAGGCGAAGGACCCAACCATATGCAGTTGTGAGTACCGCAATTATGAATATCTTCTTCGGTGCTCCCTATGGGGCCACGAAGCGCTGTACTGGGTGGGTGAAACGCAGGGAGCAAGGGCTGTGCTGGGTGGTGGCTGACGCATGCGGGCGGTGCCACTTGGACCTTCGGTGGAGCTCCCTATGGGGCCTCGGAACGCTGCACTGGGTGGGTGAAACGCAGGGAGCAAGGGCTGTGCTGGGTGGTGGCTGACGCATGCGGGCGGTGCCACTGGGACCTTCGGTGGAGCTCCCTATAGGGCCACGAAGCGCTGTACTGGGTGGGTGAAACGCAAGGAGCAAGGGCTGTGCTGGGCGGTGGCCGGCGCATGCGGGCGGTGCCAGTGGGACCTTCGGTGGGGCTCCCTATGAGGCCACGGAACGCTGCACCTGGGTGGGTGAAACGCAGGGAGGGGGGCGGAGGGCCACGAAACGCTGTACAGGGTGGGTGGGACGCATGCGGACGGTAGACCTGGAACCTTCGGTGGAGCTCCCTATGGGGCCACGAAACGATGTACTGGGTGGGTGAAACGCAGGGAGGAGGGGGAGGAGGGCCACGAAACGCTGTACTGGGTTGGGGGGGACGTATGCGGACGGTAGACCTGGAACCTTCGGTGGAGCTCCCTATGAGGCCACGAAACGCTGTACTGGGTGGGTGAAACGCAGGGAGGAGGGGGAGGATGGCCACGAAACGCTGTACTGTGTATGGGGGGACGCATGCGGACGGTAGACCTGGTGGAGCTCCCTATGGGGCCACGAAACGTTGTCCTGGGCGTGGGGGACGCATGCGGGCCCCCCCACTGGGGCCTTCGGTGGAGCTCCGTATGGTGCCACGAAACGCTGTACTGGGCGTGGGGGACGCATGCGGCCCCCCCACTGGGGCCTTCGGTGGAGCTCCCTATGGGGCCACGAAACGTTGTGCTGGGCGTGGGGGACGCATGCGGCCCCCCCCACTGGGGCCTTCGGTGGAGCTCCCTGTGGGGCCACGAAACGTTGTGCTGGGCGTGGGGGACGCATGCGCCCCCCCCCCACTGGGGCCTTCGGTGGAGCTCCCTGTGGGGCCACGAAACGAATCAGCCATGGCGATGCCGATGATGACGATGATGACGATGATGACGATGATGGTGATGGTGATGGTGATGGTGATGGTGATGGTGATGGTGATGGTGATGATGATGATGATGATGATGATGATGATGATGATGATGCTGATGATGATGATGATGATGATGATGATGATGATGCTGATGCTGATGCTGATGCTGTGATGATGATGATGATGATGATGATGATGATGCTGATGATGATGATGATGATGATTTTGATGATGATGATGATGCTGATGATGCTGATGATGCTGATGATGATGATGATGATGATGATGATGATGATGATGATGATGATGATGATGATGATGATGATGATGATGATGATGATGATGATGATGGGAGAAGGGGGTGAGCTGAGGCATGCGGAGAGCAAAGGCAAGGATGGGGGAGGCGGGAGGAGGAGGAGAGGAGGAGGAATTCAAAACGAGGACCCAACACCACAGGATGGTTGGGAATAAGGATGGGAACCTCCGATTACATTTGGGATGCGCGTCAATGAGCACCTACTTGTGCTTTGTCCAGGGCGCCCCAGGCACCGAGGGGTCAAAGAGGTCTGCGGTGATAGTCCCAGGGTTCCTACACCCTGGGCCCACCCAAATCCTTGGGGGGATGGGCAGACAAGGCGCCGCCCGGGGGGAACCCGACGAGGGGCGGCCGCAGTGCCAGCACTACGGGGCCTTTGGAGCAGCAATGCCAACGGGGCCACCACGAGGCCACACAGAAGGCGACCACGAGGGTCTCGACCAGCGCGGATTCTTGTGGCCGAAGTCCCACTGCACGGCAAGTTCGCGCCGCGTCGACGCGGCGGCTGATCCCCAGCGCGGACACGCAAGGTTGAACGCCGCTGGTGGCCTGGAGTCGACCATTGTCGAGCGTCATGCTCTATCGGAATTCCGCGATCGCTCGGAGTTGAACGATCCACACGGTTGCCGTGGTGGTTCAGGAAAATTCGCATACAAGCTTGCCTGCAAATCTAGCAAGCATCGTTGCGGCCCTGCCTCCGAGAAACGGAGTTAGCGGAGCCGTCCCATCGCTGACTCACCCCTCCAGCACAACGCGGTGTCAGGAACCATCGTGCATGTCGTCACGGCAGGCCTAGAGTTCGATCCGATCGATTCGAATCGATATCGGGTCTGGCCGGTTCGGTCCGATTCGGTTCCGAAATTCCGGCGATCCGATGACCCCGATCCGGCGCACTTTCCCATGCGATCCGATCCGATTTTGCGATTCGGTTTTGTTCCCCACATGTTTCGTGGGGTTCTGGTTTTCTTCCCTGCCGCGGCGCACCCGCGTCTCACCTCACCTCACACCTCATCTCCTCTCTCCTCCTTCCTCTCCCCACCCGCGCTCAACGCGTGCACGGCAAGTACATGAGACACGCGTCTACATACAGCCGCGCACATGCACACATTCGCACACAACGCACACACCCACACCATACAACGCTAGTGCGCGCATGGCGTGATCACTGCAGCGTCCATTGAGGCGTGTGCGCGACATAGTGGGCACCCACATGAGACACGTCCCGATATAGCCGCACACGCATCATACACATACACATAACATGCCACATACAAGACGTGCGTGTAGGATTCGCAGTGGATGGCAGGAGGCTCTATGCCGGCCATGGCGCAGGGCACGGCAGGCGTGGCACTTTTTCGACACCACAGGGGGTGCGCAGGGGGTGGTCTCTCACCGCGGTCCCTATACGCGCCAATGTCGCAGGGCCTAGCAGGCGTGGCACTTTCTCGACACCGGACGGGGTGCGCAGGGGGTGGTCTCTCACCGTGGTCCCTATACGCGCCAATGTCGCAGGGCCTAGCAGGCGTGGCACTTTCTCGACACCAGAGGGGGTGCGCAGGGGGTGGTCTCTCACCGCGGTCCCTATACGCGCCAATGTCGCAGGGCCAGAGGGGGTGCGCAGGGGGTGGTCTCTCACCGCGGTCCCTATACGCGCCAATGTCGCAGGGCCTAGCAGGCGTGGCACTTTCTCGACACCGGAGGGGCTGCGCAAGGGGGTGGTCTCTCACCGCGGCCCCTATACGCGCCAATGTCGCAGGGCCTAGCAGGCGTGACACTTTCTCGACGGGGGTGGTCTCTCACCGCGGGCTCTATACGCGCCAATGTCGCAGGGCCTAGCAGGCGTGGCACTTCTCGACACCAGAGGGGGTGCGCAGGGGGTGGTCTCTCACCGCGGTCCCCATACGCGCCAATGTCGCAGGGCCTGGGGTGCGCAGGGGGTGGTCTCTCACCGCGGTCCCTAAAGCGCCAATGTCGCAGGGCCTAGCAGGCGTGGCACATTCTCGACACCAGAGGGGGTGCGCAGGGGGTGGTCTGTCACCGCGGTCCCTATACGCGCCAATGTCGCAGGGCCTAGCAGGCATGGCACTTTCTCGACACCGGAGGGGGTGCGCAAGGAGGTGGTCACTCACCGCGGTCCCTATACGCGCAAATGTCGCAAGGCCTAGCAGGCGTGGCACTTCCTCGACACCAGAGGGGGTGCGCAGGGGGTGGTATCTCACCGCGGTCCCTATACGCGCCAATGTCGCAGGGCCTAGCAAACGTGGCACTTTCTCGACACCGCAGGGGGTGCGCAAGGGGGTGGTCTCTCACCGCGGTCCCTATACGCGCCAATGTCGCAGGGCCTAGCAGGCGTGACACTTTCTCGACACCAGAGGGGGTGCGCAGGGGGTGGTATCTCACCGCGGTCTCCATACGCGCCAATGCCGCAGGGCCTAGCAGGCGTGGCACTTTCTCGACACCGCAGGGGGTGCGCAGGGGGTGGTCTCTCACCGCGGTCCCCATACGCGCCAATGCCGCAGGGCCCAGCGGGCGTGGCACTTTCTCGACACCAGAGGGCGTGCGCAGGGAGTGGTCTCTCACCGCGGTCCCCATACGCGCCAATGTCGCAGGGCTTAGCAGGCCATCAGAGTGTTAGGCAAAGTGCCCCACGTGATCGAGCTGAAGGGCACCAAGCGCTTCAAGCCTGGCGACCCGCTGATCGAGCTCCTGGCCTGCATGCGCTTCGCGCGCCGGATTCCAGACCGTGTATGGGCCGCCTTCCAGGCTCGGGTCGCCACCGACTGCACGACCGGAGTGAGGGACCCGAGGCACGACGAGGAGAAGTTTGCGACTGGTTTCGGAATGGCCTGGTACTGGAGCACGCTGATCCGATGGATATCTCGCCGGAGCATGATCGACTCTCGCGCCACGGGCGTGCCGTTGGTTTTCCTGCAGTCGAAGGACGAGGGCGTCGCCTGCAGTACACCACAGGAAACTGATAATGCTTGCAAAAGGCTGCTGAACGTGCCGAACCTTGGCGACACGGGACACATGCACGGAGTTCTTCCCGCGCACGCGGGCATGGAGGTGAGATGTACCGTCAAGGTGTCCAAGCGCAAGAGCTTGATCCAGGAACAGAAGGCCACCATCGTGAGCTTCGTGTTCGAAAGCAGCGACCAGGACAGGTACGACGCCTGCGCCCCGGGAGAGATCTTCCGCCCGCGCTGTCTGCCTGCCGGAATCTGGATGCAGGTGCACAATTTCGAGAGACCGAGCCCGGACGTGCTGAAAACTCTCGTCAACTCCTTCGGAATCCAGCTAGAGAAAGCGAACGGCCTGTTCTGCTCCCCGCTCATGGAGGCGCACTTCAAGTGGCAGAGCGCCAACATAGTGCACAAGGTCAAAAGGTTTGGGTACGCGCTCACGCACGGGCGCTTCCTGACGTCCACCGCGTCACAGGGCCAGACGATCCGCACCGGAGTGACCATCGACTGCGCGCAGGACACGAGCATTGGCAGACCGGAGGAAAGAGCAGAGAACTGGTGGTTGCACTTGTACGTGATGCTCAGCAGAGCCACTTGCATGGACGATGTGCTCTTACTTCGGCCGCCGCCAAGGGAGGTCCTGCAGAAAGGCCCGCCTCTGTCCGTGCTCGAAGCCCTCCGGAAGCTCGATGAGCGCATGGCCACGGAGACGCGGGAGATCGAGGCCCTCGCCCTGGAACGCCAATGGATCCTGCCAGCGGCGTGAGGTCGTCGGAGCGCACGGCTGCCAGAGTCTTTCGGACAAAGGCAGCGGTGTCCAGCCGCGTCGAATTCGCGCGGCCCGTGCCGCTTCTGGACGATTTCGGAGCGCCCGCCCAGCTTCGGTTGTCGTGGCAACCACAGCCCAGAGATTTTCCATCCAAGGGCACTCGCATGTCGCACGCAGGCGGATCACGTTTGCCATGCAAGTCTTTTGCGCGCACACCTCAGAGACTCTCCGTCGAAGAGACGCGGCGACAGACGTGTGGAAACTGCATGAGACTAGAAAGAGTAGACCGACCGAGGAAAGAAAGGGAGGCATGGGGTGCGGGAGAACGCAGCGCGAGGCGAGGGGGTGTGATTTGCACCAACTTCCAAGTGGCCCCCCTGACTACTCGAGCTGTGGCAAATCGTTTTACATCACCTCGTTGGTTGTTGCGATCCCAGGAAACGGCCCTCGGTGACCACCTCGAACTTTTCCCCGATGAAGGATAGAATGCGGGGAAGAGGGGGGAGGTTCACTCAGTAGCGTGTTGGATGACAATATTGGGACACATTCGCGACGAGGGTTTAGAGCGCAGGTTTCCGCATAGATGATCAAGAAAAGCAAGCACATAATATTTGATTTAAGTATGCGGGGTTCCTCGGTAGCGTAATTCGATCAGCATTTTGCGAGCAATTCCCAATCAACACGCCCCATCCGACAGCACGTTTGGCGGAGGAGGAGGAGGGGGCGACATAGAAGGGCTTCTGGAAGCGGTCGCTGCCTGGGCACAGTCATTACAGCCGTCAGCCAATCCTCCCCACTTTCTCGAAGAAAGAATTAGAAAAGGAGGAGGCGACAGGAGGAGGAGGAGGAGGAGGAGGAGGAGGAGCAGGGAGGGAGGGAGGGAGGGAGGGAAAAGGAGGAGCATGATGATGAGGACGAGGAGGAGGAGGCGAGGAGGAGGAGGAGGAGGAGGAGGAGGAGGAGGAGGAGGAGGAGGAGGAGGAGGAGGAGGAGGAGGAGGAGGAGGAGGAGGAGGAGGAGGAGGAGGAGGAGGAGGAGGAGGAGGGAGGAGGAGGGAGGAGGAGGGAGGAGGGAGGGGCTGATGAGGAGGAGGAGGAAGAGGAGGAAGCAAGGAACATGATGGAGCAGGAGTAGGAGCAGGAGCAGGAGCCGGAGGAAGAGCAGGAGCAGAAGCAGGAGAAGGGGAACCCAAGGGTGCATGCGTCCGTCCGAGCCTCTCTCAAGTACGGAGACAGCCGCCGCAGGATGGAATCCGTCTGCAGCCTCTGCTTGGAGGAGTTCGCGGAGGGCACCCCGATGCGGTTGTGCCGCACCTGTGACTTCGAGGCGGGCTGGAAGTGCCTCGCAGAGGGGCAGTCGACGAAATCTTGCGGAGGATGATTGAACGCACCACCACCGCCACGCGCCCGACACCCAGGGGAGGCAGCCAGGACGATGTAAACACCAGAGGTTGCCAGCACAGAGACACCCGCATTCGGAGAGGCGAGAGAGGAGGGGCCCTCCTCATCCTCCCCCTCCTCCCTCCTCCTCCTCCACCCCTCCTCCACTCGATCCCTCCTGCTACGAAATTCCACGCACACGCACACACACACACACACACACCAGAACCACACATCGATCATGGGATGCACCTCCACCGCAGGTCTGCCCGCCAGCGCATCCGTTCGCTGACCATGCAGCAGCCCCCCCCCTGACCGCAGCAGCAGCGGCTGAGAGCAGAGGGCCTGCACCTCCCTGTCCGTGGCGCACCGCGCGCGCCTCTCGGCATGCAGGCCCCACGCCTCTGAGAGGCCACGTGAAGCTCCTCCCGGGGCCCGACATCGACGCTCTCGCCGCGTGGCTGGACGAGCCGAGCATCCGAGGAGGAAAAGATGCTGACACCGCTATACCCTGCCCTCGTGCTCGCCTTTCGGAGCCTCCTGGGAGTCCTTCGTCGCCACGGCCAGACTCGCTCCGGAATCCTGGTCAGAACGCCCGGAGGATCGCGCCGCCTCGCTGGTGCATCGACGATGCTGATCTTCTCCGTCCCGGCGTCGCTGGCGCATTGGCGATAGGGCGTTCCAGAATACTCTCAGAGCGTTCCGGAATGCTCCGAGAAGGCCGCGGCGCCCGAGACATCTTCCAACCCGCCGATTCTCAGAGATTCTCGACTTATTAGTCCGGTGTTGTCTCGATTCTGCCTTTGTCCTAGAGCAGAGTAAGGTGGCCGGTTGGCCTCTTCCATCCCCTTGGACGTTGGTGCCTTCTGGGCGATGGGCGGGGGACGGGATTGCTTTGTCCTCATGCGGGTCCGCAGCTCGGTCCGCCCGTGCACGGTGTCCTGAGGAACGCGTGGCCATCATCATTTATCGTCACGACTCCTTCATCGTCAACGTCATTGCCGACGCCGTTGTACCATTAGTCGCTCTCTTCAGAAGAGCACCATCACCAGCATCATCATCCTCATAGGTCATCACCAGCGCAGTCGCCCTCCTCTGGGGGATCCAGTGCACAGTGCGTCTGGTGCAGGCGGCCCTTGGCCCGTGGATGGCGCGGCTCGGCAATCACCACCACAATCACAGCCGTCATCTTCGTCGTGGAGCAACCTTGTGAAGGCCCCTTCTAAGTAAGGAAGCGCGACCTCGGACGGCCACAGGTAGACTAACGCTTTTTTGGGGATGGCCGCCACCCAACGACAGGGGCTCCTGTGTTTTAGTTTAGCTCGCAGAGAGCAAACAGTCTCCTGCCGTACCATCAGTAATCGAGCGTCGGCAGCAGCAGCAATCCAAAAAACCTGCTTGCCTCTCCTCGGCGGCGAGCCAGGGCGGAAGTGAGAAGGAGAAGGCCTTCTCAGAAGGCTCTGAAGTCCCCCAGCCTTCTGAGATGTTTTCTAAGCCTTCCCCGAAGACACCAACAACTTCTCAGAAGGCGCGAGGAATTATGCGAAGTCCTGCCACTTTCTGAGAAGGCCTTCTCCTTCTCACTTCCCCTCGCTCGCCGCCGATCTCCCCCTTCCCGTCTCCGGAGGTGTGCCATGGCTGCGTGGCCACCGGCAGCGACGGGGCCGGCAGCGACGGGGCTGGCGGCAGTGGTGCGAGCAGCGGCGCGGAGAGGCCCGCCAAAGTGCAGGCGTGACCCCTGCGCTCGCGTCGGCGGCCGAGAGATGAGAACGGTGAGGAGGATGAGGAGAGGAGGAGGAGGAGGAGGAGGAGGAGGAGGAGGGAGGAGGAGGAGGAGGAGGAGGAGGAGGAGGGAGGGGGAGGAGGAGGAGGAGGAGGGAGGAGGAGGAGGAGGAGGAGGAGGAGGAGGAGGAGGAGGAGGAGGAGGAGGAGGAGGAGGAGGAGGAGGAGGGGGAGGAGGGGGAGGAGGGGGAGGAGGAGGAGGAGGGGGAGGAGGAGGAGGGGGAGGAGGAAGAGGAGGAGGAAGAGGAGGAGGAGGAGGAAGAGGACCCGTGTAAATCCAAGAGCCATCAACGATGTTCGAATACACCCTCCCTCCAAGCTCCCTCTTGATAGGCCCTTACAACGGTTCATTTCCATTGAGGGAACCTCATCGTTTGAAGGTAAGCGCTTCAAGACCCTGAAGCATGCCAAAACATTGTCCTCGAGATTCCAACGCCACAGATCAACCTGACTGTTGCGTCTTGACGATCCCGGATCGTGCCTGAACGCTACCCTTGGGATTTCAACACCGCGAATCAACGTAACTGCTGCACTCGCAAAATGCCAAATCCCTCCCGAGCATCATTTCTGGTACGCTGATCATGGGAATCCGTGAAGCTCTTGCAAGTTTTGCATACGAATATGCGCGGCGCTCAGGCGAGAGCCACATTTTGAAAAGGAGCCCCCCTCAATCAGTGAAACCCTTGCAAATGTTGAATGCGAATACGCACGGCGCCAAGGCGAGAGCCACATTTTGGAAACGGGTTGCCGCAATCCGTGAAACTTTTGCAAACTTGAAGACCGAATGTGCGCGGCGCTAAGGCGAGAGCCACATTTTGAAAACAGGTCGCCCTCAATCCGAAGAGCTCTTGCAATTGTTTATAACAAGTGTGCGCGACGCGAAGGCGAGAGCCACATTTTGAAATCCACCCGCCCTCCATCTGTGAAGCTGTTGCCAACGTTTAAGCTTTGGAGTCAAACATGGTGAGGAAGTCTCAGGCGAAACGCCGGGCCCTCCCTAAAAACTGGTGTCGGGGTGGGACAGGGAGAAATTGTCGATAAGGAAAAGGAATGGAGGAGGAGGAGGAGGAGGAAGAGGAGGATGAGGAGAAAAGGGCGATCGACCACACGTAACAGTGACCCTTCGCCAGAGTGACCTTGAGTGCGGGCCCACTGGGGTCCCCCGACCCCCGAACGCGATGAGGCAGTAGCGTTTTGAGCGTTCATGTCTGGTCTCCCCGCGGCCCCCAAGAGGCCGCGCACCAAAGGTCACTCTTAACCAGGGTCACTCTTGCGTGTAGCCGATCTGGGGAGGGGGAGGGGAAGGTTGTTCGCTGTCGCTCGCTGGCTGAGGAGAGTAGAGGAAGGAGTGGGTTCGATGTTCGTTCGGGGAACATTCCTCGGGGCCACCTGGCCGATCTGTTGAGCTCCAGTTTGACTCTAGTTCGGTTCTAGCTCGATTACAGCTCGACTCAAGTTCAGCTCCAGGTCGACTTAAGCCGACGGACGTTTGACGCAGCATCGACGCATGAGCGGAGCGAGTGTCTCCAGGAAGGTCCCCAGAACAAGCATCTGAGGGGTGGGGAGCGGCTGCTCAGTGAGCTGGCCCGTCCGCTCTGCTTACACGTGTTGGGGGCACGAGGCACATTCATCAGGAGCGCGGCAGATGGCAGAGAAGGTGGGGACAAGGATAACGACGACGATGACGCGACGAAGTCGAAGGCAAACTGACGACGAGGAGGTGAAGGAGGAGCAGACATAGTGTTCTCAGAGAAGAATCTGGCACCGATACTGCTACCCTTCACTCTTTTCCGCAATTGTTGGTGCCTGGGAGGCCCTCATTACCACGGCTGGATTCGCCTCGAAATGTTGGTCAAAACGCGCCCCACGAGAGGTATTGGTAGTAGCCGTATCGGTGTCTGTCCGTCCCCCCAGGATTGGGAGGAGCGGGGGGGGGGGAGTGGCTACTCAGTGCGTTAGCCCCTCCGCTCTGGTTGCCCCCGTTGGTGGGCACGGTGCGCACTCATCAGGAACGCGTCAAATGGCAGAGGAGGGGGGAGACGAATACGACGACGTTGACGCGGCGAAGTCGAAGGCGAACTGACGAGGAGGAGGAGGAGGAGGATTGCAGTATAGTGCTGATGCCCTTGAGGGTAGGCGTAGCCCGTTTGAGGAGGAGGAGGAGGAGACAGAGTGCTCGCGTCCGCACCCCTTCCCCGATACCATTGGACTGGTCGGGAACAGATCCCCGGGCCACTGGCGATCGTTTTGTTTGCAGTTACGTTATTGCGGCACGACTTGCTGGGAGGCAAATCCATTGTACGCGAAGCCGCGTCTGGGCGAGTTGCGAGACTGCAGTGTGCAGCTGTGGTGGGAATGAGCGGACAAGGGTTAGCAGGAGGAGGGGGAGAGGAGAACGAGGAGGAGGCGGCGGAGGTGATGACGGGAGCAGGGGAGGATGAGGGAGGCGAGGAGGGAGGGAGTGGGGGAGGATGGAGCGGACATGCTCCGCCTCCCTCCTCTCTCTCCATCCTTCTTCCCCGGGCCCCAGTCAGCAGGGATGTGGTCGGGCCACTCGCCCCTCCAGCATATCCGAGAGTTCGGTGCTGGAAGAGGTGTGGGCCTTGCTCTCCCCTCTGACTTTGGCGATGGGCAATCAACTGCCAAGGACAGAGCAACCGGCAGGACAGGAAGAAAGGGATGGGGGGGGAGGGGAACAAGAGAGACATGGATGGTGTGAGCACACTAGAATTACACATGCACGTAAATTCGGCCCAGGTTACTTTCGCGATATATATATATATATATATATATAGATACATTCACAGCACAGCATGCCAGAGTCACTCATCCTGCAAAGACGGGAGGCTTCCATGAGCCAGAATCACTCGCACCCCGCCAGCGAGCATAAATGACTGTAAACATCGATGACATGCAGAGGGAGGGGGGAGAGAGAGTACGAGGCACACAAGAGAGATACGGATGCTTCATCAATAAACTGGACACAGCGACGTCGAGTGCTTTCCAGGTCAAGGCACCTGAGTTCAGGGAAGAGAGAAGCAATCGAACACTCGGGGTCGATGGCCAGACACCAGTCCACGCATTGAGTGATCAAGCCAATCACACTGCCAATTTTCTCCTGGAGAGAACGGTTAGCATGCCAAGCCTGGTACCGAGGTAATGGCAGGGTAAGGTTGTCAGAAATAAGCAAATCAACATTCTGGATATGGGGGCGCAATTGTATGCAAGACCCTAGGACAACATCAAAACCGACGAAAACAGCCGGGTCCTCAACTTCCAAATTGAAGCAAACACGAGAAGTCTTTCGACGTATGCGGGAGTGTACGGTTCTGGTGTATGCAGAGATGAACTGATCGACGAAACTCCAGAAGCGGACCAGACAGCTTTCATTTCGTCTTCATCACAGCCGCACTTGCTCCTCAAACACAACTCGCCGAATATGTCATCCGTCCAACGGCAAATAACGCTATTCACCTGCTGAACATGAGGGAGACTCAGCGTCGCAGGAACAAGGCGTTGCTTCCCTTCAAGGTAACAGCAAACAGCCTTACACGCTCCAGGAGAAAGATTACTACCCTGGGTCATGCCAACCCCCGGAGCGAACAAGTCATTGCCAAAATGGAGAAAACCGAAGGACAAGTCTATTTGCACAATGCTCTTAATATCATCAAAATGCATAATTCATAATTCGGACGAAAGGACACGACAATTATAAGGAACCGGAATCACACGAACGCCAGACGACAAATTACGAAAATGACCACGGAAACTCCTGGAGAAACACATGGGGCGATCGCGATAGCGATTCGCCGGCTTCTTGCAGCGTGGGATCTTAATGAGCCGTCGCCGGGTACCGTGCTTCTTGTACCACGCCGCAACGAGCCAATCCAGAGTTTTCGAGATGAGAGCATGCGGGACATTGTTGAAGAAGTTCTCTATATATCACGCTTGAACGACACCATCGTTGTTGTGTATCCGCGACTTGTCCACACCTGGCAATCAACATTGAAATAATGGAAACGCGACACAACAGAGGAAGCAGAAGACACAGAGAGAGAATGGGGACGGGTGGAGGCACGCATGAAATTGATGGCATGACAGCAAAAAGAAAACAAATAATATTCAAACAATGCTTCAAATAGGAGCCAAGAGGCCGACATTTCAAGGCAAGATTGAATATCTTTGGCCAGCAGTCAACTCCACCGAACACATGGCAATGGGTAGGCCTCACGGGGACACCAGTGTAGCTACAGTGAACCTGAAGCTCCTCAAACGCAACGTGGATCTTTGGCCACCAAGGGATTTTTTGTTTACGCCAAAAGTCACAACGCATGCACTCCCGGGCTCGGTTCTGCCAACTCCGAGGACACATTGTATCAACCGCGCTTTTATGCTTGTCAACGGGCGCAACCACGGCGATGTCAAACAATGCACGACGCCACCATTGCTTGTCGTTTTGAGCAACACCAAAACCACGAACATGGTTGTGACGATGATACTCAGCAGCCGTGTACACATGCAAGCCACTAAGATCAAGGCTAGCATGCGGGACGACACGACAGCACGAGGAGGCAACGTGGTCAGCTATGGGTTCCAACTGCTGGGTCAAAGCATGATGGCACCACACGCAGGACCCTTCATAATGGAAACTCTTGGGAATGCAACCGGACAGAGCGGAATCGGAAGCAAGACAGCACAGGTGACCATTGTCCGACGCACCAACACACACAACATGTCCTGCAACACAGCGCACGTGCACGGAAAATCGTACCGATCCAACTTGCGAGCCCAATGCTTGGAATTGACCAACATAGGGCTGGGGGCCGAACGCCGCTTCACCTGCAGGGTCAAAGACGTCCCTGCCACTAACTGGGCAGTCATTTGTTGGTTCATTCTTTAAACAGGAAAGAGCGGAGAGGAATGAAGAGAATGGTTGGAATACGATTTTGCAACGACACATGATTGCGTAACAACGATTTGTCTAAAATCTGAAACATCGATGCCTGGCGACACTTAAACTTTGACCACACAGGAGACGGGGGAGGCGGTCGAGGAGGCGAGAGATTACGTGTGGCTTATGGTCGCATTTTTGTATAACAAAACTTCTCTGTATGACTACCTTCCTTGCGAAGCTCTCCGAGTCTCAACGCCAAGGCTGACAGGGCATGTTTTTGCAATGAATACGTCGCGGAGATGTCTGCTTCCGCCCGCGTGTCGCTGTGATGAATTCGACAACCGCGAAAATAGCCGGCACGGTTCGCAAACCTGACAACACGAGGCTTGGAGGTGGCAGTTGCGGGCTTCACGACATGGCGGGAGTCCGTTGCGTGCTCGTACGAAGTGCGAACATGCTGCCGCACAATAGGGACATACAACTGGGGTCTGTACAATGGAATGTATTGCTTCTCTGAAAATCGCATCTCGAAATCATTAGAACGAGATCAGAAAAGCAGAGAAACTTGAATAAACTTTTCAACGCCCACGGACCTGATTTTAAAGTAAGCGGGAATTCGGGAGTTAGCACGACGACGCAACAAATTATCATAATGTTCGGCAGCGCGCGTCTCGATGCCACGAATGTTTTTTCCCACGTAGGACAGATTGTAATCAAGAGACACCCACGAGTACACGACATTGTCAGTCGTTTCGGTGGACACTCTGTCTGCGTCGACAAACTGGGCTGACTTCGCAAGAAATTGCATTAGCCTCATGTGAGGCCGGAACGATGAGCAACCGAGCAAATTGAAGAGAAGGATAGCGCCAAGGAAATTGAGGACAGGAAGAGCGGGAGACAAATGAGAGAGGGCATGGGGAGCTTGCCTGATGGAAGAGAGAACCTTCAATTATGTGTGAAACAAGATCAGACGACGAGTGCCAGAGGATTCTGTAAGCGCGCTGCTGACTACACCGGTCGCGCGTGCCATATGCGGTGTTAGCAAGCATGACACTAAAATTATACACTGCATGCACGAGGCTATCTACTTGGACAGTGGATGTGGCAAGAGGAGCCCGGACAGCCACCATGCTTGGGAGGGCAAACTTGTCTTGCGAACCCGTCCATGAGACAACAGAGAACCTAGAGCAAATGCATTCATACTGAGAACTGGCGAAGCAATTACACGAATCACAATTCAAGCGCAATCGATTAAAATGCATGCATGCACGGCTACGCGCGCACGCGTTCCCTTGCCAGTGCTCTGGCGCAAAATGGAATGCATTCAGCCTGTCTCACCTGCGGGACCGCTCAGACAAGATTATCGACCGCTCCTGGGACGCAGACGACGAAGCCGGACCAGAATCACCGGCACGCTGACGACGACGGGGTCGTGGATTCGGGGTGTTGATAATGTGCGCACCTGCGCCCTGCTGGTTTTTCACAAGCATCTTCTCGCAAACATCTGACCACGAATGGTGCAAAATTTCAGTCAAGTCATCCCATGTGATCTTGATAGTGAACTCGCCGTCGTGCACGCCGACACCTGTCACAGAGTCGGGCACGGGATGATCACCAACAGTCTTGCTGACAGAGAAACCGAGAATATCGTGAGGCTAACCCCTTGTGGTCAAAGGCGGCTCCGATGGCTCGTAATAGTCATCGTGTCCGCTATCGCGGAACAGTTCTCGCCTGGCATGGTCCTTTGGGCGGCGGTCACGACGATCCTCAGAGTGGCGAGCACGATGCATGTGCCAGAATCGGTCGTCGCTCCTCTTCCGTTGAAGGTGTTGCACCGCCCTTTCTCCGGTCGGGATGTCGAGCTCCTCCATTACTGCCCGGACTCCAACAACAAATTTGTTCTATTTGATGTTATCAACCCCAAGGGGCAACAATGGCGTGATCTCATCAGCACGATTATTGGTCACATCCCACTCTTCGTGGGCGCGGACAAACATAGGGACGCAACGCTCTCTGCGCATCATCTCCTTGAGGCCGGGGGCGCTGGTCGCGATGGCAACCACCTCGAACCACTCGGGGTCGTCATCGTGCAGGGGGAGGAACCTCCCGTGGCTGTCGGTGTCTGTGTCGCCCATGTCGACCATTTGCTTTGCGAAAATCCTCATAGGTCTCGGACGAGGCACCGTCGAGCTAGCAGCACCCATTGGATATTGGAAGGGACGAGGCGGACCCGCATTGAGCTGTTGTTGTTCGTACGGCATGGGCGGACGAGGTGCGAAAGGATTCATTGCCAAGGATGTAGCAAGTATGTGGATAATGAGCATACAGTATCGAAATGTTTTGGGATCAATGGATGGGAGCGAGGAAGGCCAAATCACTACCCAACAAACTCTGACGATTATTTTGACTACTTCAAGTGGCTGTAGTCTGAGCACACAGCAGCCATGGACAGAGCAACCGGCAAGACAGGAAGAAAGGGACGGGGGGGGAGGGGAGCAAGAGAGATATGGATGGTGTGAGCACGATCGAATTACACATGCACGTAAATTCGGCCCAGGGGCAGGAACAGGATCGCCACGAAGGAGAAGGGTCCAGAGGGAAACGGGTTCCTGGACCCTGGGGCGTTCCCCCAGGGCCAGCGGGTCACACCGAGTGGTTTTTTTGGCAGTCCTGAGACCTGTGGAGGGCCCTGGGGCCCGAAGACGGCAGGAAGGCTCCAGGCCCGTTTCCTGTGCCCCCCCCCCCCGGGGCGCGAAGATGACCGCGCGCTGCTGCTTGGGAGGCGCCCTTCTCTGGCGCGGCGGCGCGGGGGCGCAAACATACAACAGCGCGTCGCACATCGCAGGGCACGATGCGCGAACTGACCGAGGTTTCCTCCAAGACCCGCTGGTTTCGTGCCGCCGAGAGCTGGAGGGCGAGAGGCGAGGTCGAGGCCTGGTGAGGCTTCGGGTCGCGCGCAGACAACCCCTGCAGGTAGTCCTGGCTGGCCTCAGCGTGCCCCCCGAGCAGTCCCAGCTGGCCCCAACAGGCCTCCAGAGTTGTCCAGGGCGGTCCCAGCACCACAAGCACCTCAATCCTGGGGCGCGGAGCGCCCCAGGGGCGCCCTCAGAGGCGGGGCCAGGGTGCTGAGACCGCCCAGGACCTCTCGAGAGGCCTGTTGACGCCAGCTTGGACTCTACCGGGGGCCAGCTGCGGCCAGCCAGGACTACTTGTGGAGGGGCAGCTGTGGCTGTCTGCGCGCAGCCCGGACATGTTTTCCCCGGGAGCCCCCCCCCCCGTGCTCGCGCAGGCGGCGCCGGAGAGCGCACCCGCGCGTGGCACGGCGTGCCGGGCACAGTGGCAGCCGAGCAGCGCGTGGGGTGGCCCCGCGCCGCGGCGGCAGCGGCGGCGGAGGCGACGGCTGCGGCGGCGGCAACGATGACGACGACGAAGACGACGACGATGACGACGGCGGCGGCGGCGACGACAAAAACGAGGTCGACGACGATGACAACGACGACGACGACGACGACGACGACGACGACGAACACGACGACGACGACGACGACGACGACGACGACGACGACGACGACGACGACGACGATAAGGTCGACGACGACGCCGCCGCCGACGACGACGACGACCACGTCGACGACGACGCCGACCGACAACGCCAGCGAGGACGAGGACGGCGTCGAGGGGCAGGACGGCGAGTACCTGACGGCGTCGACGACGACGAGGAGGCGGAGGACCAGTGCAAACCCGAGTTTCATCAACGATGTTGAAATACACCTTCCCTCCAAGATCCCTTTCCATAGGCCCCTCTAAGGGGTCAAGGGAATGACCCCGTTAATGGATAACCGTGTGAACATGTTGAAGCGTGCCGAAAGACCGTTCTCAGGACTTCAACGCCATGAGTTAACCTGCTTGTCACGTCTTGGCGATCCTGAATCGTGCCAGAACACTGTTTTGGGGATTTCAACACCGCGAATCCATGTAACTGTTGCGCCCTGACAATCTTGAATCGCTCAAGCATATAATGTTTGGTACGTTAACCGTGAGAGCATGAGAACCAGTGACACTCTTGCACATGTTTAAAACGAATGTGCGCGACGCTAGGGCGAGAGTCACATTTTGAAAACAACCCGCCCTCAATCAGTGAAGCTCTTGTTAGTTTTTAGAATGAATGTGCGCGGCGCGAGAGCCACACGTTGAAAGCGACCCGCCCCCAATCCGTGAAGCTCTCCCAAGTTTTGAAGGCGAATCTGCGCGGCGTTCAGGCGGGAGCCACGTGTTGAAAACGAACCGCCCTCAACCCGTGAAACTCTTCCAACCTTGTAGAACGAATTTGCGTGGTGTTGAGGCAAGAGCCACAGTTTGAAAACGACCCGCCCTCAATCCGTGAAACAGTTGGCACATGTTGAAAACGAATGTGAAGGAATGTACGCGGCGCTCAGCTTGAAAACGAACCGCACTCAATCCGTGAAGCTCCACGCAACTTTTAAGGACGAATGTGCGCGGCGCCAAGGCGAGAGCCACATTTTGAAAACGACGCACCCTCAATCCGTGACATTTTTGCAATATGGTATACCGAATGTGCGCGGCGCCAAGGCGAGAGCCACGTTTTGAAAGCCACCCGCCTTCAATAGATGAAACTCCTGCAAATGTTGAAAACTAATGTGCGCGGCGCTAAGGACATTTGTATACGACCCGCCCTCCATTTGCAAAACGGTTGTCAACGTTTAAGCACCAGGGTCATGAATGGTGAGGATGTCTCAGGCGAAACGCCCGCCCACCCTTTCGACCGGCCTCGGGGTGCGAGAGGGAGGAGTTGTCTGTAAGGAAAAGGATTGGGGGAGGCGGAGGAGCCAGGGGAGAAGCCAGGGAGGGCGTGGGGAGAAGGAGGAAGGGGCCAGGGAGGAAGGCAGTGGGTGAACGACGAGGAGGAGGAGGAGGAGGAGGAGGAGGAGGACGCAAATGGGAGATGTGGGTGGGGGAGGGGAGAAGGAGGATGGAAGTAGGTGGAAGGAGGAGGAGGAAGAGGAGGAGGAGGAGGAGGAGGAGGAGGAGGAGGAGGAGGAGGAGAAGGAGAGGGGAGGAGGAGGAGGAGGGGGAGAGGCGGAGGTGGATAGGTGGAGGAGGGGGAGGAGGGGTGCCGGGGAAGAGGAGGAGGAGGAGGAGGAGGAGGAGGAGGAGGAGGAGGAGGAGGAGGAGGAGGAGGAGGAGGAGGAGAATGAGGAGGCGACGACGAGCAGGCTGGCTTGCCCGCCCTGGACCTCGCTCCCACGTGCCGCCGCACCCGTCAGGCCGAGCCTGCGGCAGGAAGATGCTATCTTAAGAGCTGCGTCCTCTGCAGGGTCCATGCTGATCCGATGGAGTCGATTGCCTGGCCCGCCACTTGCTGCCCCTAATTATGGCCGCACTCCTCCTCCTCCTCTTCCTCCTCCTCCACCTCCTCCTCCTCCTCTTCGCTCGCAGGGCGGAGCAACACTTGCGGGCAGACTCGCGCGGGCTCTTGGAACCTGGACCTACCGTCAAGTCGTCGGGGCCTCCAGCGACTCCGCCCTCGAAGCAGGGAGCGACGTTTATCATTCTGATTTTCTCGTTGGTGGGCCAGGCAGCCGATCCGATGCCGATTTCGGCCAGCGCGATCCGATTCGGTTACGATTTTCGAAGGATCTTGCGCGGCCCGATGCTCGCATGGCGCTGCTGCGCATCGCGAAGCTGCCGGTCCGATTCGACTCCTGCTCCGCGCCGACGCGGCCCGATCCGATGCACATGCCGATTCGATCCGATCTCACGGTCCGATGCTGACCGCTGCTGCCCTGTGCCGCCGGCCCCGTTTGGTGGCTATGTTTGAGCAGGCTTGGGGCCCTCTCGGGCCATCCTGGGGGCCTCTGGAGCCTGGAGCCCCTCGGGTCTGCTTCCGGACAATCTGAGCTATCGTGAGTCTCGTTTGGGGCCTCCTGGGGCCATCTTGGGTTCCGTGTTGGGCCTTGGCGATTTTGGCGGCATCTTATTTGGTTTGGGGGGCACCCCTTGGGGCCGCTTTTGGGGAACCTTCGGGGCCTTGGGGGGCCGTCTTGGAACGATGATTTGACAGCCTGAGGGCAAAACAGGGGAAAGGTAAAACACGTTGAACAAAATATGGTGTTCAATTGTTTTTCGGTCTAATAGGCGCCTCGCGGCCTTCCTGACCATCTTCGAGGCATCGTAGGGTCCCTCGTCGGCTGTGTTGGGCTATTGAGGCTCTCTCCAAGCCTCTCAGGGCTCGTCGGTCTCGTTTCGGCACGCCCATGTAAGGTAGGTTCGCGTCGTGTCGGCCGACGGCGACCCAGAATCGGTCGATGTTGAACGATCTGACGTTCTGGAAAAAGCCGACCCTTCAAGGTTGAATGATCCCCGCGGTGTCAGAAACAGACGCCGACGTCAGCACGACACGAACTTGCCGTACGCGTTCCATTTCTCGTCGAGTTCGGGTCGCACTCGTGCGGCGGGGCACGCGCGCGAGCGCGCGAGCGGGACGGCCAGGGCAGCAGCCGCCGGCCGAGGGGAAGACGCATGGGCGGATCCCAGAGGTGCAGGAGGGAAGGGTCGGAGGAAGACACAGACGAGACGGATTCCAGAATCTGGCCCATTCTTGTGCTACGCCGTTGCAGAAGGTCGTGGTTGATCCCTCAATGCGCAACGGCGATGAGGACGGAGTATCAATCGATAGCGCGACGCATGATACATAAAAGCGCACAGCGTTAACATGGAACCGTCTCCCCGCTGGGCTCCGTGAGTTCCGACATACACCCGGCATGAAGAAGAGTGGGATGACGACAAGGAGGAGGAGGAAAGGAAGACGAGGAGGAAGAGCGGGCAGCGTCGTTGCTAAAGACAAGTTTGCGGCGTTGTCCAAGAGTGTGCCCGTGTCTTCGCGCGAGCGGGCTGGCGGAGGCTGACCCGGGTTCCGGCCACGCCGAGCTGGCCACCTTTCCCCCTTAGAATTCGAGTGGGTCGAGGCAAGAGCAGTGGGGTCAAAGATCCAGGATTTCCGAGTCGGGGGTTCCCTCATATTCGATTGCTCTACAATGTTTAAAGTTGGGCGCGTTGACATCCTAACTGGAAGGCTTACGGTTTTGGACATCAGATTATACGATATGTTGTTTTTGCCAATGCAAGATGTTTGCGTCTCATTTGGTCACAAAACTCTCGGACTACCGGAACTTCCGAATCAATCACTTCGGCATATTTTTCATCTCGGGTGGCAGAGGAGGTTGGGGAGTCTGAGGGGAGAGGGGAAAGGGAGACGACGTTGAAGGAGGATGTGGAGGCGGCAGGGAGAGCTGTGAAGAGGAAGTCAGTGAGAAAGATACTTGAACTGTCGTTGTACAGGGAAGGTCCACTCACCGGATTGCAGTGTTTCGCCTTCTTTGATTTGTTGGTCAGTTTCATCTCTGCCTGAAGGTCAAGAGTTCACTTCACCCTCATCACGTTCGTCTGCATATTCGTCGTATTATCATTCCTCTCCTCAACTGCACTGCTCGTTCCTTATTTTTCTCTCTCTCTCTCTCTCTCTCTTGAGTATACTCCTGTTCGTTCAGGCGGTGAGGACATAGTCGGCCCTGATGGGGAGATATACGAGGCCCGCGGCATTGGCCACGAAAGGAGGGATTTCTCATCCACCGTGATCCATCACCGTCGCTTTGGTGTTGGTCGTGAAGGTTGCGTCTGTCGACGTCGCCGATATCGATCTGAGATGGTCACGCTCAGATTGTAGCTTGTATCTCGACTGCACTGATCAACGTGTCGGCAGTAGCGTGTACGCGCTCGCGCTCTAACGTTTGATTCATTACTACCGCACCCGACCCAGCCTTGCCCCACGCCACAAGCACAGTGTTTTGCGGCATGCGGTCTGTAGGAGACGACACTTGTGTCATCTGGTGTCCTTGATGTTTGGAGCTTTTGTCTCGTGCCCTTCAGGGCAGAGTGCGCAGGTCTTCTTGACCATTTTCCATCTCGTCCAGGCTGAAATTATTCGAAGCGTAGAGGTGAAGGATATGTGGTAATACACGGGCGGGGCACGGGTGGGGGCGTACGTGCTTGCAATCAGGATCTAGAGCGGAGGCAGCAGAATGTGCAGTGCCCGTTACTTACTCATGTGTTGACAGTCCCCCCTTCATGGGGATTGACACGGGGGGCGCTGCAGATACGAAAGAGATGGCTGATATGCAGTAGCGAATTGGTCTGACCATTGCCTTGGGGTAATCGGGTGTTGAACGCCCGCAGTATGAGGTCACCCTTCGCCCCCCTATCCCACTGCATTATCTTAGCCTGCATCCCTCCCCGTCATCATCCTGGTCACAATGCCCGCTCTCTTACCCATCCTCTGCTACAGCACAGCGGGAGGCGGGCCGCACAGATGTTATCGACGATGGACTTCTGGTTTCAGGCCACAGCCATGTCGGGCCATGCCCGCCAGACATTGCAGTGATGTCATCCTTGCCCATATGGAATCATCTATGTGTTGTTAGTGTTGGCTGTATCTGTTTTCACTGCAGGTTTTCTATCCGAAAGCCCACGAGGACGACGAGCTGGAAGGGCCCGACGGCATGTCGACGCAATTGCCAGGGTCTCCTCAGGAGTGATTCCTGGGCCTATCTTGTTGTACGTGTCTCTTCCCCTTGTGCTCTCTAGTCTGCGCTGTTAGTGTAGGTGCCCACCTTCCCAGGTGGATTCCTTTGTCTTCTTACGTGTATGCCTGTATGAAGGTTTCCCGTGTTCCCCTTTGCCTTGGTGGCGGTGATGGTGTTGGTCTCGGCAACCTTTGTCCTACCGTGCAATGTATTACGATCCTTTGCCTTCGAAGGGCGGCACATCATGCATTGCGGGCAGCCCAACTATGTGCAGAGAACGCACACCAGCCCATCCACAGACGATCCCCACGCGAGCTGTCGAAAGAAGACCATTCGACATGAATAGGTGAAAATTTATTGGAGTCCTCTTTGAGCCATCTCGGAGCTCTCTTGGGGCCGTGCTGGGAGCCGTTGGTGCCATCCTGAGGCCATCTCGGAGGCCTTGGGGGTCTTCTCGGAGGTCCAAGAGGGGGCGGCGCAGGCTGGCACTGCCCCTCTGGAGCCCGAGAGATCGCATCTTGGAGCCCTCTTGAGACGCTATTGGGGCGCTCTTGGACGCAATGGTGACCGTCTTGGACCTCTTGTGGGCCCATCGTGGGACTCGCTTGACAGATCTTGTTGCCATCTTGAGCCTCGGAGGCTCATCGGAATCGGAACGGCGAGAAGCAACAACATGTTGAAACACATCATGTGTTTGAAGGAGCTTAGCGTGTCGGGGATCTTCATGGGAGTCTCCGTGGCCACTTAGAGCTTGCTTCGGGTGGTGTTGCGGTCTCATGGATGCATGCTGACCCTCGTGATCAGTCGCCGACTACCTTGAGCCAGCTTGGGGCCATATTGGAAGCAAGATTAAGCCTAACAGGTGAAATGACCCTCTGGCACTTCATGGGGCCCTCGGGCACTTCATGGGGAGGGGTGAAACCCTTCCCCGAAGAGGCATGATTGCATACGCCCAGAAGTTTGGTGGGATTCCGTTGGGTCGAGGCCGTGGGGAAGAGAAGGGACCAAGGAAGCAGCCCTGCGAAGTGACACCCTTTTCAGAGAATCCGGCAGCCTGCGGCACATCCCGCCACCATGCCAGCGCAGCAGCGCAGCAGCGCAGCAGGAAGGAGGTCGAGTTTTAGGCCCACTCCAGATGTGTACGTTGTGCAAACTGGTGCGGGTCTTGGACACTCGCGCCTTTCCCTCAGCCTCTTTCTACTCCTTGTTCCTCGTTCGTCTTCGTTTTCGTTCTCGGCTTGGGCCCTCTCGGGGGTCTCGGGGGGCCGCCGGGCGCCCGTCGTGGGTCTCGTGTCCGTGTCGGGCGCGGTTGTTCCACAGAGCTCCCCCGAAGACCAGATAGCGCCATCAGAGTGAGGGGGCTAAACGGTTATTCATTGCCGCTTGGTGCGTGGCTGAAGTGGGGTTCCGCTTCGCGGAGTGTTGTTGCGTTGTTGCTTTGTTGTCGTGCCCCTCGCCCGCGACCCGCCCGCGACCCACCAGCAATCCACCCCGTGACCACCCTGCGACCCATCCCGCGACCCACCTTGCGACCCGCCCGCGACTCACCCGCGACCCACCCTGCGCCCGTCCCCTCACTCTTATCCACAATTTTAGAGTTCTTTGTATTTGGGACGTCTGGGCATGTATCGGAGCCGTCTCGGAGCCCTTTTGGGGCTGCATTGGGGCGCCCTTGGGACCATTTTGGGAGCCTCTGGGCACTCGCCAGAGCTTCCCCAGGGCGATATGAAGCCGAAAAGCTTCGGAAGCACAACCATTGATTTGGGGTTCGTTGGTCGTCTTGCATGGTCATGCGGCTTATTGCTGACGTTGTGCGGTTGCCTTGGGGCCGTCTGGAAGCCGAAAAGTTCGCTGGTGGGGCCGTTTCGGGCAGCGTTGGGGTTTCTGGGCGTTCTCTGAGTCCTTCTCGTGACGATTCGAAGCCGACAAGACACGGCAGCAAAAACCTTGGCGTGTCATTGTTTGTTCAACGTTTCTTCATATTTGATGCTCCCCCTAGAGGCCTAGTTGAGCCTCTCCCGACGGCTTCTTTGGACCTCTTGCACAGTCAGCGCGCTGAAATGATGACCAGTTCAAAATTTGGAAGGGGATGGCTGTTCCTTAGGTCATTGCATGGTTGTTCCTCTAGCGCTCTTTGTGCACCTGGGCGCTTTTGCGGTATACAAGGGGCTTCGTTCTTTGTGTACCGTTCCTTCTGGCAGGAGCTTGATTGTAGCCTTTGGGACCTCGATGGGCCGTCTTTGGAAGACCTGGGGCGTTTCGTGCAGCTGTTTCGGGACGGTTTCAGGGCTCCCTTTAGCCGTCTTGAGGCCGAAAGGGGCGCCGGGTAGTAACATCAGGAGGGGGGTGGTTGTCATAGCACGCGCGGTCCAGTAGCATTCCAGCACTCCCAGACGCGCCGCAGGCACAGTGGCGGATTTCTCCGATGCTCTCGACTGCACAGCGGACTGTTGTTGTCGTCATCATCGCCCTCCGCACTCCTCCTCGTACTCGCCCTCGTTCTCTTCGTCCTCGTCCTTGTGCTTCTCTTCCTCCTCGTTGTCCCAATGCTTTCCTCGCTATCCTCACGTTCGCCACGTCGTCCTCGTCATCGACTCCTCGTTGTCCTCGCCTTACGTTTCTTCTTCAACCAATACGCCCATTAGACTACAGCGGCGCTTCCCGTTCTTGTCCGATCAGGTTTCTCCGATGCTCTCGACTGCACAGCGGACTGTTGTGTGCATGCTTTGGCCTGCATTGCGGTGCCGCGGAGGCAGTCCCCCCCTGCCCATTCACCACCCAGATCTCTGAGGGCATGACTTTCTGAATCTGGGCGTTTGTCCTCGATTTCTGGCTTCGGTTGAATTTCATGGGCCCCGGGACAATAAAACATGCAACTGGGACGAGCAATTGTTCTCGGGGAAGCGATTGGGACCTCTGGGGTCACAGGTTGAAAAAATGCATACCGGTGGATGTCAGGGCATGTTGCTCTCAGGACCTCGAGCTAGTGGAGGAGTTTGAGACCTGGCAGCCGGTCGTGGACTGGGTCTCCACAGAGGCAGAGGCCGCCTGGAGGGAGTCAATCCTCCAACGCTGTGGGCCCTCACCCAGGGAGGACAGCACATCGAAGTTCGGCGAGGGATGTCCCTTCCTGGCGGGAATAGCGCAGAGTCTGCCTTCTTTTCGGTTGTTCCCCTCCCCCTCCCTCGGCTTGTGCATTGAATTCCCTTGGCCTCTATTCCACAAGATCTGTCCATGGATAGCGAGGTTCCCGTCCTGCAGGGAAGGCAACAACCGAGCCATGCGAACGAGTCCTAGCTGATCCACCTCCCATGCCAATCGTGCCAGAAGTCTCGTTTTGTCTTTCGTTTTGGGAGTCCTAGTTCTTGGGCGGGCGGAAACACAACCTACGTTCAAAGTATTCGTATGTCATGTATCTACCCAAGTCTTGCGAAAGATGGATGAGCCCCTGTTTGCCCGCCGCCCACTTGTGGGGCAGCTGTTTCTCAGCGGGGGCTAACATCCGCCTCGCCGCCGCCTCGTCGCCGCCCCGTGAGCTGTCTGGTGTTTCCAGGCTTTCTCCTGGCTGCCGCCCGTCGCTGGCCTCGTCACCGCCTCGTGCGTTGGATGGAGTTTTCGGATGTCTGTCCCGTCGCTGCGCGTCGCAACCTGAGCGAAAAAAACGGGGTCGATTGCGCCGACATTCGCGCGTAAGTTGCTCGCGCATGGTCGTGCGTAAAAGCCGCAGCGTAAAGTCGCCATGTCATCGTTTTTCTTTTCGTCGTTCACCGCCTGCCCAGTATGACGTCGCACCTCGGGACCCGCGGTGAGCACGGCTCCCCAGCGCGCTGCCCTCCCGTCTTTTTCGGAGGGCCAGTTCCGCGTCGGGGCGCGATCGGATCGGATCCGATATGCGTTTCCTTCCTTGTCATCACTCTCTCTCTCTCTCTCTCTCCCCAGAAGTGCAGCATACTAAATAATCAGGAAGATTGTGTCTCTCAATGTTCGGCCTCTGGGAGCCTTCACCAGGCCCCGAGACCGTACGAAAAACGACTCGGATTCGATCCTGGGGAACGGGTCGGGATTTCCACGGAAGGCGTCTTGGAAAATCACGACATCGCATGGCTGGGTCCGCTTCCTCTCCGCGGCACTTCCCATCCCCTTCCTCAAGGGTGCCCCGTCTGCTTTTCGCGTCCCCCTTGTCTTCCTCCCGGCATCTCCACGGGCCTCCCGCGTCACCTTCTCTATTCACTCCCCGTTCCCTGGCTCCCTTTCCAGTTCCCCTGCACGGCCCCTCCCCAGATCTCGAGGTGTGTCGATGCACCTACCCGTCTGCCCTCTACATGCTACATGTCGCTTGTCCTCCACTACCAGTCTCTGTTCCTCCCCCTCCACCAATTCACCCTTGCGGTGCCGCCTCAGGTCAGAATCGCCGCCATGGTCGAGCACATGTCCAGACAGGCAGCCCTATGGGACAGGGCGCTGCGATCTCTCTGGGCGCGGATGGCGACTCTGCGCCACCTCTCGAATCGGAGAGGTTGGGGGGGCGGACCCGAAGTAACCCCAGCCAGGAGGTCGGTTTCGGTTCGTGTCATGAGCGCATGCGGGCGAGGCGAAGCTGCGCGAGGACGACGGTGTGCCAGCCAGGATCACGTCCGGCCACATGTTTTGCCGTACTTCTCGCGGGGGGCCGCCGGGTTGTCCCGTGGTTTTCTCATGAGTTGTAACGTGGGTTGTTCCGTTTTGCACCGTGGTTGTGGTGCGGGGTATCCCATAGTTCCCCAATCAGAGCTTGCTTCTGTAGGGGTCCTAGCGGATATAAAGCTGAGGTGAGGTCGGCGGCCGATTTCGGTGGCCGGGGCCGGGTGCCCGGGTGCCCCAGGGGTGCCCGGGTGGCCGATTTCGGTGGCCGTGCCCGGGTGCCCAGGGGTGCCCGGGTGCCCGGGGGTGCCCGGGTGCCCGGGGGTGCCCAATAGCCCAGTAGCCCTATAGCCCTATAGCCCTATAGCCCTGTAGCCCTATAGCCTTATAGCCTCATATCCCTAATAGCCTTATATCCCTATAGCCCTATAGCCCCATAGCCCATATAGCTCTATAGCCGCATAGCCCTATAGCCCTATGGCCCTATAGGTCACAGTCCTATAGCCCTATAGCCCGATAGCCCTATGGCCCTATAGCCCGATAGCCGTATAGCCCTATAGCCCAATAGCCCTATAGCCCTATAGCCCTATAGCCCTAATACAAATCTGATTGGTTTTTGTTCTCCGGTATCATTTCGTCCCGATGGCTGTCCGACGGTTGTCTTGTGGTTGTCCCATCGTTGTCCCGCAGATTGTCCCGCGGTTGAGTGGAAATAAGTACACATCAATATGCAACTACACTTGAAACACATACGCATATCGAAACACACATCAAACAACATGTACATCGACACCAATGCTTGCAATGCAACATGTAATCGAGAAGCAACAAGAAACAACCATTCGGCTACACTCGACATGCAACCGGTATGCACATCGAAATACAGTTTCAAATTAAGTCCGAGTGCAGTGTCCAACACAAAGCAGCATACAATGGAAATGCAGAATGGAGCGCAAGTTCAATCGCAATTCGCATGCAACTCGGGAGATCTAGAGCTGGTGCGGGAGATGGCTCGGACTTGGAGGAGCGAGAGGTTAGGAATCTGATGGAGGAGATGGGGTGGAGAGGGAAGGAAGGAGGGAAAGGGGGGACGATGGAGATGGAGGGAGGGAGGGAGAGGAAAGAGAACAACCGTGGGAGGGGGGAGCACCAGAAGGCCGGATGGGGCGAGCAGTATGAGAGGGAACCGTGTGGCTTATCCGGCGTCCCAGAGATGTCTTCTTACGTCTCTTTCTTTTGTTCCTCTTCCGCCTCCTTGTCTTGCTCCTCTCACCCCATCCTACCGCGCATGATTTTCCTCATCGTCGCCATCTTGCTTCTACCACCCCCCTTGCCCCTCATACCGCTCATCCTTCTGCTGTTCCTCGTCCTCCCCCCCTCTTCCCCCTTCTCGTATCCCTCGCGCCTGCCAGCGCGGCCGGATTTGGTTGACCGCTCCAGCGGGAGTAGTCGATCAAGGGAGAGATTGCGAGATTGCCAGGGGGGTGAGGCAGGGGGAGGGAGGCACCCGTGCGAGCAGAAAAGCGACTCGGGTTTGCTGGCCCGAAGGCGCCTCGAAGTGTACCACGGCTCTGGGGGGAGGAGGAGGGGAGGGGGGGAGGGGAGGGAGACAAGCTAGGTGCGCTCGCGTCATATCTGACGTCCTACCCCTCCCTCCCATCCCTTACCATGGCGCTGATTTTCTCTATCCGCGGACGCGTGTCGTAGCGGACCTGTGGCTCCGCGCGCGCGTGCGTAGTGGGTGGTGGTGCGCGTGCGTGCGTGCGTGCGTGTGTGCGTGGTTGTGGTGGTGTGGTGCTGGTGCTGGTGCTGGTGCTGGTGCTGGTGCTGGTGCTGGTGCTGGTGCTGGTGCTGGTGCTGGTGCTGGTGCTGGTGCTGGTGCTGGTGCTGGTGCTGGTGCTGGTGCTGGTGCTGGTGCTGGTGCTGGTGCTGGTGCTGGTGCTGGTGCTGGTGCTGGTGCTGGTGCTGGTGCTGGTGTGGTGTGGTGTGGTGTGGTGTGGTGTGGTGTGGTGTGGTGTGGTGTGGTGTGGTGTGGTGCGGTGGTGGCGGGCGGATGGGCGCGCGAGAAAGAGGCCCGCGCTGGGGCGAGAACGCCATCCTCAACGACGGAGGCCAAACACCGATCCGAAAATGAGGCCCACGCTGGAGCGGGAGCACGATTCGGAACGATTCGGGAGCAGAAATGAGGCCGGCGCCTCAGCGAGAGCAGCATTTTAGAAAAAAACACAAGCGAAAACCCAACTCCGGGGAATCCTGTGTGTAAAAAAACAGTACGCGGGGGGGTGCCGAATATCTTCCGGACGCCATCAGGGGAAGTGGGAGAGTATTTTCATATTGTGTAATTGTAGAAGGGGATGGGAAGAGGGAGAGGGAGACGATGATGGACAAGGGGGAGAGGGGTCCACCTCCCCTCCCCTTTTCATCTTCCCCCCCATTTCCTATCTTCTCCGCCTCCTCTGTTCCCTCCACACTTCCGCGCCCCCTTGATCCCTCATTCACCCCTCCCCGTCTCGCCCTCCTCCAATCCCCCCTGTCCCCCTCGACGTCGAATTACGGAAGCAAGCGTGCTCAGGCTTGCGGAGAAGACACCAGGACGTCTGTAAGCAAACGAGGAAGAAGGAGGAGGAAAAGGAGGAGAAGGAAGGAGGATGGAGGACGGAGGAAACTAGACAAGGAGTGCTAGGGGAAAGGAAGGTGAGGAGGAGGGGAAGGAGGAGGAGGAGTGAGGGATGGAATGAGTGAAAGAATGGAAGGAAGGAAGGCAGGATGACGAGAACGGAGGAGGAAGGCAGAAGGCAGACGGCGGAAGGAGGAAGGAGGCAGGAAGGAGGATGAAGGAAAGAAGGAGGAAAGAGGAAGGAGGAAAGAGGACGGATGAAAGAGGAAGGAGGAGGAGGAGGATGAGGAAGGGGGTGGGTAGAAGGAAGGAAGGACGCAAATAAAGGAAGAAGGACGAGTAATGAGGAGGAAGGCGGAAGTAGGAGGCAGGAACACATGGGAAAACGTGAGGAGGGAGGAGGGTGGAGGGAGGAAGGAAGGAAGGAAGAGGAGGAGGAGGAAGAGGAGGAGAGACGAGGAAGAACCATAGGATGTTCGAGGAGGAAAGCGGTGGGGAGGGGAGGAGGAGGAGGAAGAGGAGTGAGTGAGTGACTGAGTGAATGAGTGGGTGAATGAGTGAGTGCGTTGGGAGGGCGCCCCAATCCGATAGCCATTGAGCTACTGCAGCGATGCCCCTCTTCGTGGGATTCGTTGCCCTCTGCGATGATAGGAAATTCGCCCCAGCAAAGCCTTACGAGCACGGCTGGACCTGGCCTGCGGCTCCTCCTTGCCGCAGTCGTTCTACAGCGAAGGAGGGCCGCTGCAGCGTAAGAGACCACTGTCCGCTTACACTGCAATGGGGTGGGACCTACCTACCTAGGCGCAGCCCCCCCCCCCGACGCTGTTCATGCATCCTCTCCGCCCCTGCTAATACTTGTCTGGCGTACTCACTTCCCTCCGCTGCCATCCGCCTGAGAGTCATCCTCACTGTTGGGTTGTCGTAATCTACTGCCCACTGCCGCACAGGAGGAACCAACTGCTGTCGTTTTCTTCTCAGATCTAGTACCTCTGCTGCAGCGCGTTCAGCTGTCGCTCCGCCACCCTCGTCAGCTCGTCCTTCGGCGCTGGCCCGTCTCCCTCTTCTGCCCCCTGCCTCAGGACGTTTGCGTACATCGCCCTCCGCAGCAATTGTGGCGTCGGCATGGAGTCCATCATCCGCTTGGTAGTCATGGCCACCTCGAGGTCTGCTGCTCGGTTGATCTGGTACGTGATCTTCACCTTGATGTCGTGGTGGTCCATCCCGTCCTCGCTGTACGCCTCTTTCACCAGGAAGCAGCCGAACAGCTCCTTCACCGCTGTTCTGCCCGCTGGGCTGTTGATCAGCTCCTTGTACTTACCCAGCACATCCTTGGCTCCGTCCTGGCTCACCGCCTCCAGCGCGTCCACTACCACCGGCGCCACATGTGGAAACGGAGCTCCAAGCCCATGCCTTCGTCCTCGCAGCTGGACCTCTGTGTTGTACGTCGCTCCTGCCTGCAGGCCCGCCTGGCTCACTGAGTTCCCATTCGCCAGCGAGACGAACTGGCACAACATGTGTTTGTGCTCTCTGCTGCGTTGGTCCTGGCGCAGCCCCGCCCTCTGCAGTGTGGTCACCGCGTCCACCTGGTCGACCTGGTCTCGTTGCGGCCGTGCGCCTGGTCCTCGTCCTCCTGCCTTCACCTTGAGGATCTTCGGCGCCTGCTCCCCCCCCTTTCGCGCTTGCCCCCACCAGCGGCTCCTCCTCCTCCGCTGCTCGCAGACGAGGCCGCCGTGAGCCTCCAGTCCGCCATCAGGGCGAGGTCGTCATTCGCCTGTCCGTCCCGCGTGGTGACTACATACATGTGATTGAAAAGTGTCACAATTTGGGGCCACAACTTCGCACACGGGGTACTCCAACGAGGACGGTGCAATTACCTCGTGTCGTGTGCATGAGATGTAATGCGAAGGGCAAGTCAGGCGCCCTGGGCTTGTGCACGCGAGGCGTCTCCGTCGCACGACCGGAGCGCCCCGCTCTTGGCACGCCCGTCGCTGGAGGCATTGGGAAAACAGCATTCACGCAAGCGTTGGGTGGGGGGCGCCAGTGCCTCCACGGACTGAAATTGACATAGCAGATGTTGTTGTCTTCGCAGGCCACATAGACATGTTGCAATGCAATATCCCTCGTATTGAAGGTGCTCCTGCACCACGGGCACTGTTTCGTCACCGTCAGTAGGCTGAGCAGGGCCCTCTGTCCGTGCACGCACGACTCGTACTCCTCCCCGTCCCCCCCACCATCTTCACATCGCGTACGTATGGCTTCTCCTTCCCCAATGTTACATCCTCCCTTCCCATGCTACCTTCATACTGTTGTTGTTGCCATGCTTTCGTAGTGACAGCGCCCGCAATACATCAATATCTGTGCGCAGCCAGAGCTCTCGATCCGTGGTTACCTTCTGCAGCATTGCAAGGTCTGGTTGTCGCACGCCAGACCAGTTCATGTCTTCACAGTGACTCCTGAGGTAACGCAGGTCCTGCAGAAACTGTTGCGCCCAGGGCGTGCTGTCTGGACCGATCCACCGCCCTTCTTTCATATTGTTTTCCCCATATCCAACGGATGGGGTTCTTGTTATTCTCTGACCAAGCCTGACCTCTCCACTTCCCTTCTCCCTCTCTGCACTAGACAATGATGATGATTGTCATGATGATGGCCATGGTATGGTGATAGTATGATGTGAATATGATGGTGATAGTAAGTGATGGATGATGATGATGGTGATGCTGATGCTGATGATGATGATGCTGCTGCTGCTGATGATGATGATGATGATGATGATGAGTATGATGATGAAGCTGATGTGGATGAGGATGAAGATGAGGGTGATGGTGATGACGATGAGCAGATGATGAGGATGTCTCGAGCGGCTTGCTGGTTTTAGTACTCCTAGGGGGGGGGCGCCAGGGGGTATTGCACGGCCTCCGCTCGCGCCAGTATGGCGGGGATGTCTCGAGCGGTTTGCCTGCTTGCATGCTCAACATCCTCCGTTTTCGGAACAGATGTTGAGGATGGGCCCGCCAGGGGTATTGCACGGCCTCCGTTCGCATCCAGATTGCGGGGATGTTTTAGGCCGTTTGCCTGTTTACATGCTCAACATCCTTCGCTGTTGGTGCTGATTTCGAGGATGTCTCGCGCGAGGCGCTGGTTGTCGCACTCCAAGGTGCCCAGATTGCGAGCATGTCTCGAACGGTTTGCTTGTTTTGGTGGCCAAACTCGTGTGCGTTCAGAGCAGATTCTGAGGATGTCTCGAGCGGCTTGCTTGTTTTAGCACTCCTAAAGGGGGGGGGCGCCAGGGGTGTTGAACGGTCTCCGTTCGCGCCCAGATTGCGGGGATGCCTCGAGCGGTTTGCGTCCAACGTCCTCTATTTTCGGAGCAGACTTGGTGGCCAGACTCGGCGAGAGCAGGCGCTGGCATTCGCACCCCAGGGGGCTTAGATTGCGAGGATGTCTCGAGAGGTTTGCCTGTTCTTGCTGCCAGAATCGTAGGCGGACCTCCCCAGGAGGTCCGCCCAAAAGGACTCCAAGAGGCCCCGGAAAGCCACAGGAGGCGCTAGGAGGATGCAGGAGGCAACAGGAAGCCCCAAGAGGCTCCAGGATGTTCCAAAGAGCTCCAGGAGCCCCCGGGAAGCTTCAACAGTTTCGAGGAATCCCCAGGAAGCCCCAGGATGCTCCAGGAAGCCCCAGGAAGCACCAGAATGCCACAAGAGGCTCCCGCCGAGAAGCTGCAGGAAGCCCCAGGCCTCAGGAAGCCACAGGGAGCGCCAGGAGGCCCCAGAAGGCTCCAGGAGTCCCCAGGAGGCCCCAAGAGGCACCAGGAGGCCCCAGAAGCGGCTCCAATCCTATGTGTTTTATCCGTGAGGGCTTCGCCCCATGCCGCCGGCCCCCTGTCTCGGATAGTTGGAGATGCAACAGCTAAATCATAAGGTCTGGGCGCGGCCGTGAAACAGTGTCGGGACCTGTTTGTTTGTGGACCCTGGCCCCGCCGATTTGCATGAGGGGTGCCACCGAATTTCAGAAATGTAGTAAATCCATTGTGTTTTTGGACCCTCGTTCCGCCGATTTGAGTGAGGGGCGCCACCGAATTTGAGAAATGTGACACATTCCCTGTGGTTATGGACCCTGGCACCGCCGATCTGCCTCAGGGGGGCCACGGAATTTCAGAAATGTCGTACATCCCTTGTGTTTTTGG